TAAATAGTGTCTAGTCTAGGTCTAGTTAGTCACTTTAGAATTAGGTATAATAAGGTTGGTATAATTTCAATTTAAAATAAAACTATGTATGATGGCTACTGATAAGGTTTATCTAATAAAAAAAATGTGTTATTGAGAGAAACTTTACTATACTATTGAAGAGATCCACTTTTTATATATAAAATACAATATGTATGTATGTGTATATATATATTTATTGTAAACGTAAAATATTATTTGTCAGGGCGAGGTGGTGTCCTACCTAATTTTTTTGGTTTCGGCGCCACTGGATTAAGTGATCTGTATTTTCCATACAACTCGCATAATATTAAAACTATTATATTAATTTGTAGTTTATAATTTAGGCAAGTGTTTATTTACGACAGAGTGCGTAAACGATTTTAACTGTAATGACGAATAAAACTAAATTGTCAATGATAAACCACTCGTAAAAAAATTCTAAAAATGTTTAAATACATTTTCATTTTTATTATCCAATTAATTAGTATGGATGATATTATAATTGTATACAAATGATATGAATTAAATAATTTCTCTGCTTTTGTAACAACAGAACAGAAAATAAGGCTGCTCTTCATAAAAAAGAACGAAAATATAGGGAACAGCACAGATGGAAAATAACATTTATTACCTACATACTTTTTTAGCAAAGCCTATATTATATTATATTATATTATATTATTAATATCAAGGCTCGAGACTTATCGCACTTAAAATCATCAAAATAAGTGCTTAGAAACATAATTATAAGCACTTACATAGCATATAAAAAACTTAAATTTAAGCAAAAAAACTTAAAAATCAATAAATTAATCTTTATCTTTATACTTAATACAAAAAAATTGAACATCACTTTTGTGACTTTTCTGAAAAATAAAATGTAAACGATATTTACAAATAGTTGGAAAAAAATTAATTAATTAATTAAGTACTCGACAACGTAGATGAGAATTATTTTTAATTTTAATTCTTTCAAAAACAACTTTGCAGGAGAAAACCATTGAGAAGTAGAAAACTTGATTAAAAATGCAAAAATAATCAGACAAACTGGAAATAAACCTTTTTTTAAAAATTCGCTGAAGAGCAAAACGAAGCACTTTCAAATTTTTAGCTGTACGGGTTGCAACATGACATTTTAAGTCAATCCATAAAAATAAGCAAATGCTTTAAGTCCCGAGCCCTGATTATTATTACGACGACCGAAGCTGGATATACAAAATATTATGTACCGATTGCGTCAGCCTACCAACTACCAAGAGTACCTATCATCGCCGGAAGCTCACGCACGCCGCCAGAAAATTATCTCGCCCGACTAGGCTGGTACCAGATTCGACTAAATACGTGTAAAAAGTAAAAACCGTCAGTCGACCACATCGACAACATTGCTGCTTATCGAATAATTAATAATATAAATAAATAAATAAATTATAGACAATAATATTATTATTTTTTTTTTTTTTTATTGATCTTGAGCCCGGCAACTGTGATCATTATTAGTATTTAGTAGGTATTGTAGGTTTGTATTGATGGTTTATATTGCATATTTTGGGACGGTAGGGGGGAACACGTGTGTGTTTGTTTTTGGTAGTAGTTGCCGTCGACTTCGATGAGCGCCGCTGACATCGGCGCTCGGACAGCGCGCTGCGGTCGATCTACCTACAGTAGTTAATTTAATAGTGTGAGTACTGGGTAGCCCTACTGAAAAAAAACGCCACTGGGGGCGCTAAAATCACCCGCCTAGTTTCGCTGGCCGTACTATAGTACCCTCACTATGTTCTAGAGTTCTAGACACTAGTCTCTTGACCTTCTATTTACTTTGACGCGGTTGACTTCCCTCCGTCCCGTACGCACGCGATCGGTGTTGGTTATCAGAGCGCCTCGCATGTGCGTTGTGCATACGAACTACATTATCAATTATATCTTGTTCTTAGCAGATGACTGATCGCTGATAATTTTTATCCGTGAATACAGTAAGTAAATACTATAACTTACGAAATGGCAGTTAGACGTACACGACTACTGACCGAAGATTTATCGCACGTCGAGTTCGAAACCAGCGAAGATGTCGAAATACTGACGACGTTCGATAATATGAAGCTTCGAGAAGACTTGATTCGTGTGATATACTCATACGGTAAGTGACTCGTTACCAGTCGGCAGTCATGGTCATTGCACATTAACATTGTAATGTAATACTTTTGTTATGTTTCTATATTTATTGAATTGTGTGTTTATAGGTTTTGAACGTCCATCAACTATCCAACAAAGAGCCATCAAACCAATTATCAAGGGGCGCGATGTCATTGCTCAGGCTCAGTCAGGAACTGGTAAAACGGCAACATTTTCTATTGCAATGTTACAATCTATAGACA